ATTTTCATTCTATAAATAAAGTTGCTACACATTTTGCAAACAGAAGGACAATATAACCATTACAATCCTGTTCTCCAAAATAAAAGTGTCAGCAATGTGATCCTGTGGAATTATTTTAATGTGCTAAACCTACTTATAAGAAAACTTTCTTTTTTTATTACACACAAGCATCCATGAACAGATATATACCTAAATCCCTAGGATATTTGTCTGAAAAGACATCTTGCTTATTTATTTAGAGATTGGGCGGTGGGGGTAGGAGACATGTTATAATGGGGAATTATTATAGCCAACCATACATGCATAAACTATATGTATTATGGAATACCAGCACCCAGTAAATAATTCTATGTGTAGTTTTTCTTTTTCTTCTGATTATTATTCATGGACAGGTTAGCAAAGTTATTCTGATCAATATTTTTCATAATTTAGTCCCCTATCAATGTATCCTGATTTTAGTAAGTAAGCATATTTTTACAGTATATGATTTTAGCTTTTTATATGAAAGTATCAGGACAGCACCTGCTGGATTGCTCAAAGGTTCATTTTTATCTAGAATTTTTCTCCCCTCACAGTAGCCACAGATGTCTTATAAGCAGGAAATAGAGATTACTGTTGTTCCAAATTTATTTATTTATTTGTTTGTTTGTTTTGGTTTGTCAATTGCTTACAAGATAATAGATATAAGTTAAAACATAGTTATGAATACATGGATACATATAAGAAAAATAAAAATAAAACAAACAATAGGACAGGGACGGCAGGCACGTTGGTGCGCTTATGAACACCCCCTACAGACCTCTTAGGAAAGGGGTGAGGTCAATAGTAGAAAGTCTAAGGTTAAAGTTTTGGGGGTTTGGGGAAGAAACCACAGAATCAGATAGAGTATTCCAGACATTGACCACTCTGTTGCTGAAGTCGTATTTCCTGCAATCAAGTTTGGTGCAGTTAACCTTGAGTTTGTATCTGTTGTGTGCTCTTGTATTGTTATGGTTGAAGCTGAAGTATTCATTGACAGGTAGGACATTGCAATATATAATTTTATATACTATACTTAGATCGGACCAAAGGCAGCATAGTTCTAGGTTTTCTAGGTCTAGAATTTCAAGTCTGGTGGCATAAAGTATTGCCAGTATGTAAGACAGAGTATTTATTTGTTGAAATTTGAAGTTGCCATTTGTTTGACCATTCTGATACATAGTCGAGGTCTTTTTGAAGGGTAGCAGTATTGTCTGTGATGTTGAATAGCTTTACCTCATCAGCGAAGAGAACACAATTGCTCTTAAAGTAATCACAGAGGTCATTTATGTAGAGTATGAAAACAGTTGGTCCTAGAACACTGCCTTGGGGTACACCATTGTTGACAGGTACTGGATTTGATAGGACAGTTTTGACCATTTGCTGTCTGTTTGACAGGAATGCTTCTATCCAGTTATGCAGGTGTCCAGAGATACCGTAAGATTTTATTTTTAGGAGTAGTTTGTCATGTACCACTGAATCAAAGGCTTTACAGAAATCTATGTAGATTGCGTCTACTGCTTTGCCCTGATCGAGTTGTATAGTCCATATGTTTTTGCAGTGTAAGAGTTGCAGATTGCAAGATAGTTTTTTTCTGAAACCAAATTGTTTATTAGACAGTAGTTTGTTTGTCTCTAAGTGGAGGATAATGGATTGGTTAATAATTGATTCCATGACTTTACAAATGACGCAACATAAAGAGATTGGTCTGTAATTTTTAACTAGGCAGGGGTCTCCCTTTTTGAAGATGGGGATGACTGTGGCTTGTGACCATAGTTTTGGCAAGGAGCTGGTCCTGAAAGATTTTTCAAAGATTATGCTTAGAGCTATTGCAGTGGATAGCTTTTTTAAGAAGTAGGCACATATTCTGTCTGGTCCAATAGATAGAGATGGTTTTAGATTGTGTAGTGCTTTTTCAACATTGTCTTCTGTAAAATCAATATGTATTAGATCATTGTAGTTGTCTGTGGTTCGACGAGGAAATAACTGGGCATGATCCATTGCTGTTTACAAATACTGAGCCAAAGAATGTGTTAAAGAGGTTGGTTTTAATAGTGTCGTCATTGCAGTCTTTACCATTAGGTAAATTATGCATACTTTGTTGTCTTCTATGCTAACAGGACTACTTTTGAACTAGTGATAAGATTCAGTACTGTTTTATTTCTGATACTAATTTTTTTTCATGTAAAGAAGAGAAAGCAGCTGTCTACACATACAGTTTCCATTCACAATACAAAGAAGAACGGTGGGCTGAAATATTTACTTGGGTCAGATTTTTAATCAAAACGTCTCCAAGTAAAAATGTTCCTCTTCATAGGTTGTTTATATCAAAATATTATGAATTGTGAGAAGTATTTAATTTAAATGGTCTTAATTAATATTTACAAATAGTGGAATTTTGTTAATTAAGTATTCTCAAAACATTTCCCATTTCTGGTAAGGAGAACTCTCCAGAGCATATTTTTCTCTAAGTTTTAGTGCACAAAACTCCTATTAACATTAGAAAGATTTCTCCATGCAGAACAAGAATGGAATATGAAATGAAAAAGCTTACTAGAAATATTTTATGAGCAATTTGCTCTTAGAGTTTTATTACTTCATAGTTGAAGGAAGTTTGATTTCAAAATCAAAATAACAGAGTTGGAAGGGACCTTGTTCATCTTTCTGTCCAACCCCTTACTCAAGCAGGAGACCCAATACCATTCCAGACAAGTGGCTGTCCAGTATCTTCTTAAAAGCATCCAGTGATGAAAATCAATATGTATTAGATCATTGTAGTTGTCTGTGGTTCAACGAGGAAATAACTGGGCATGATCCATTGCTGTTTACAAATACTGAGCCAAAGAATGTGTTAAAGAGGTTGGCTTTAATAGCGTCGTCGTTGCAGCCCACAATTTCTGAACGCAAGGAAAATAATAATTCTGGATGAGATATAAATGTTGGATGGCACTTAGAGAATCTGCATTGACAAAATTTCCATCTGTCAAAGACCATATTGCTTGGATCTGCACATATACTATGGCAATACATTGTGACATTTTAATTTTTTGGGGGAAGAACTGGATGTGTATGAAGGGCATCACCAGCTAGAACAGGCAACTGTGATTTCATAACATTGCATACATAATAATAATGCAGCAGCTTAAATGAAAACACTTTGGAGTTTGTTTGCATTATACACAATTTGGACTGCCATGAGGATTTTCCTAAAGGACAGCTTTTCTGCAGCATTTATTAAAAGAAAAATATTTATTTACTGGAAGGAACAAAAATTATTCTTTCAAGAGTTAGTCATGCTTTAATTGCTCATAGTGTCTAATGAAGTAAAAGAATGGATTGATGAGTTTGTGTGGGATAAATTCCTACAATTGCTAGATGCAATTGCAATTTACAGTACGTTCAAAGTCTTTTGGAAATAGCTTTAATTAATGGATTGGGTCTAATTATTTGTTCTTCTGGCCTAGAATTGCATCTCAGGTGAAAAATAATTGGTTAAAAGTATAAATCTGGTTAATGTTCTTCATTCTAATTAGTTATGGGAATTCATATTTGAAGAACAAATGCAGTTGCTTAAGCAAGATAATTTTTTGTATGCTTGGGTCAGTTTAGCGCTATCTAATTCAGCTCCATGTTCTCAAGGGCCATGTGTAAATTAATAAAATATAGGGGAAATCCATTTTGAACTGCATTCAGAAATCTGAGAAAAGATGCTTTTTTCACAAAAAAGAATCTTGAGAAGCAATAAGTACATTCATTTCAAGTTTTTTTAAAACGAATGTAAGTTTTAGGTCTTAAAGAAAAAAAACACCTATGTATGATTTTCTCTTTCTTCAGACTTAGGAATTGTGTTAATCATTGTGCATTTTTTTCGATACTCTAGACCGTTTCACATCAAAGTTAATATATCTATAACATTTTGTCTGGCCTTAACTAACTTGATCTTTGACTGAATAGAATGAATTTTATTTTTAAAGAGAAGTGTAAATTTTAATATGGTAGTTTGTCTTATTCATATGTTGATCCATCTTTCACATTTTTGGGACAGCCTTATTATAACCACATACCATAGAATTGACCATTCCTAGTTCTCATTATGATTTAAAACTGCTTTTCATGAAGAGGGGAAAAAGTATCATTCACAATGGCAAGACTTGGTAATAAGATTAAATATTCAAATATTATGCAATGTGTATTGCTCTTGTTATTGAACATGCAAATCTGATGTCATATCTGGAATAATTTTCCTCTCTTCCAAGCTTTAAAACAGAGATGTTAACTTAACATAGTAATCAACTAAAAGGGAAAGTTATGAGAGCAACTGTAAATCAGTAAGACAATGAGCTAAGATCCAGGCTTTGCTCAACAGGCAGGGCAGGAGAAACAATTGGAAAATTCTAATAATTCAAGAATTTCTAATGAGTTAATGAAGAAAAATCAGAGAGCTGTAATAGGAATAATATAGGGTTTCCTGCTTGAGTCAGAGATTAGACTAGAACTATATGTAACTTTCTATGTAATTCTCAGAGTATTCCGATGACTGTTGTGTTTCTAGAGGGCAAATCAAAGAAATTCTTTTTCCAGTCACAATTTCATGTAAGAATGTGTACTTTTTTTAAAAAAAAGGTGTACATCTATTAAAGCTGAATACAAAATATACTGAATACAATATATACTGAAAATAAAGAGAAAATTTGGTTTATAAGTTTAGAAAGTTACTGATAATGAAATACATACTTATAAAAATGAATTTATTTTTTTTATAAATAAATATAAATAAATTTGGATCTTTAAGGAAACACAAACTGCAGCAACATTTGGAATGCAAGCTAATGGAAACACAACAGAAAGGAATATTATGCAATATATCGGGAAAGAGATAATTCGTTGGGCATTGGCTGGTACATAAGACCACTTTAAACAGCAGTGTTAAGTTCACAAACTATGAGCTCTAGTTGTAATTCTTTTCTTTGTTTCTTTCATAGAGTTACAGAGCAGTTCTTGTGGAAATCCTGGAATTCCATCCAAAGGTATTTTATCTGGAACACGATTTGATGTTGGTGACAAAATTCGATATAATTGCGTGACGGGCTATATATTGGATGGTCATCCCCAACTTACCTGTATAGCCAGTTCAGTAAATACAGCATCCTGGGACTTTCCAGTTCCTATCTGTAGAGGTAAGTTGAACATCCAATAAAAATTGACATTCACTATAAAAAGATAGATATTAAATGTTTAAAAGTTTAATTTGTGAAACTTTGTATTAGAACTAGGAGGGTGGGCTTTATGGTACTGGGTATTTATTAAAAATGAGGCTGCTGATATGACTGTAATGTTTGATTTATAACCTGGATGACAAATAATATAAAGGTGAATCAAGCTAAATACGTTATTTCCAAAGTCCTAATTTTTAAGGAAGTGATAGTTCTTTCCATTCTGGAAGGGAATACTATCTTCCAAAAGGAGCTCTAATATTAAGCCTACCTAAAAGATTTGGATTCAGGTAATCTGAAATATGTTTTTCTGGATGATTCTTCTCTATGTAGTTTAAAGTCGTTTGGGGAGATTCAGTGCAACAATCTTGTTTAGCAATAGCTCAGAAATAAAATTCTTCTGTATTTGTCATGGTTTCTAAAAGGTACAAATTAAAAAAGAAACTTTTTGGGGGGCATTTAGTTAGATGACATTTGGCTGAGAGTAAGCCACACTACATGCAAATGAATTATTTCTAAGTTGACACACATTAGATTTTATGGATAACCATTTCTAGACCATTAGATCTAGTATAGATATGCTAGATCATTAATTACGCAAAATATAAACTGGAAACTAAATTGCAAAAGAAGATGTAATATGGGGAAAGAAGAAGACATACCATTGGGAGGTATAATGCTAAAAAGAAAAACCCACCCTAATATGAACTCATAGAGGAAGTGAGTTGAATAATATTTAGTTATTTATTTGATTTGTCAATCGCTTACAAGATAATAGGTATAAGTATAAACATAATTATGAATATATGAAATGGATACATATAAGAAAAATAAAAAGAAACAATAGGACAGGGATGGTAGGCACATTGGTGCGCTTATGCAATGCCCCCTACAGACCTCTTAGGAAAGGGTGAGGTCAATAGTAGACAGTCTAAGGTTAAAGTTTTGAGGGTTTGGGGAAGAAACAATATTTATTAGGAAATTCTGAGTTACATAGCCACTGTATGTAAATATTATGTAACTCTTCCTATTAAGTCTTATGGTTGTTCTTGTTGCTTTTGAAATTATGTTCTGCATTGGTTTTCCTAGGAAAAGACAATAGAGCTTAAATAATGCATAGAGAAAGCTTTGGCTACAAGCAGTCTATTTATCTTATTTTAAATACTGGTGAAATAGTGGTTGCCCTTGAAGTGTCTTCTTACAGCCAACAATTTATTGTGCAATTCCAATTTCCCTTTGCATGGCAACTTGTAGAAAAAACAGTTCATCTTCAGAGCATCCAAGTGAAGCAGTGAAAGCAATTGCTACAGACCTATGTATAAAATAAAGTTTAGTTCAAAGTACTACAGAGTGTTTTTTTGAAGTACAATCACAAATGTTTCTCCCCCAGTATTTGGTGTTCTTTTTTTACTGGGGAATTGATTTTATTGAACAAAGGGGAAGACAAAAGGGACAGTAAGAGTTTGCACTGATGGAGATCTAATGGAAGGAAGCTGGAGTCTAAAAAATGTTCTCATTGCCTGGTCACAGAGAAAATTTACTGTATTAATATTTCCTGCTTACATTCATGTGAAATAAAAGAAAAGATGTTATATGAGGCTTTCAAACATGGAGTGTTTTAACAATAGCAATTGACTTTGAGGACAAATTTAACATTGCGGTCCTATTGCAGCCAAATAGTGGAGCAAGGAAGAATATTCTGACATCCAGAGAGAGAATCCCAGCACACTGTCCAACTAATAAATTACAATAATGATCCAAATAAATAATTACTGTTCTTTTGGTTCACCCAAAATTTACTGTCTGAATTGGTTTCCTCATTTTCTCCAGGTTCTGAATCTTCCATGTTTTGTGAAGACAATCTTTGGTCTTTGCACCACACACAGCGTAAAAAGTGGATCTATCTGACCTGATTTAAATTTGTCTTCAATATTGTACATAAAAAGACGAAATAATAGTATATTAATATTGTGATTATGTGGAGATGTTTGCTAGGCGGCTGGTAGCTATTTGTATTGCAATAATAGGCTTAAATAAAATCTTTTTGGAGTGAGTCTGCTGCAGGGGTGCAATTCAACCAATGTAACAATATTACACCGGTTCAGTGAGCGTGTGCTTTGCTTTGCATGCGCCCAGAGCATTTGCTACTGATCTTCTCCAGCAATCTCTCTGTGTTAAACAGCTGATGCATGGCAATCTGTTGTGCTGTGCGAATCAGCTGAGCTTGAAAACCAGGATATAAAGCATAGACTAGAGCCGGGGCCGGCAGATGGGCCCAACAGCTAATCGATGGAGTGAACCTGTTCGTCTGAACTTGGCCGAATCGGTAGAATCCCACCCCTGGTCTGCTGAGTACATCAGTGAGTGCTGAGAAAGCATGTTTATCCCAACAGTATCATGAGGAGTCAAATTCTATTTCAGATCTACATACTGTAAATAATCCATATCATTATACAACTAAAAATGGAAAATGCTATACCATTCGATAGAAGAGAACATTTATAACTCAAGGTTGAACCATGGAGTCTTTGGTGCTTTCTGAACTTAGTTGTTTTCTTGCAAATGTTTCATTATCCAACTAGGTAACATTGTCAGTGCTGGAAGGAAGTGAAGTTGTGTATATCATCCCAATTTTATTCCAAGGATCATGTTCAACTTGAAGGTTATTTGGGTGCTATGTGTGTGTACATTCAGGACATTGTTTTAGTGATTTAAATGACAGAACTTTGGAAACATTTAATTGTCCTAAATTCAATTATCATCAGAAATAACCTTTTCTGTGAACTTTAAGGGATCGACTTGAGTGCCTACCAGCTTCAGCAGTGCATTCCACTACCTGAATATACATGTTTATTATAGATACTGAATTCCTCTTCCTATTAAAGTGTCTGTAAAGAAAGCAAAACCTTGAATCATAGATGCATAAAATTTCAGAAGTCAGCTTTCTTTTTTCTTTTCCTAATATTTTTCTGAAACTGCACTTTTTGGAAAGGTAGGCACAATCCAACCAATTCATTTAAAACCCTAATATAATGCTGTAAACATAAAACCTTAATTTAAGTCTATGAGATATCCATTTGGTATGTTCCTGTCTAGTCCAGTTTGATGGATTCTGCTTTCCTACTGAAACTTATTATTAATTTGTCATGTGTTGTGACTAACATGGAAGCGATGAGTTCCATTCCAGAAATATGGAACAAATTGCAGATGTGAGAATGGGGGTTATTCCTGAACTACATTTACACTGTCTTCTGGCATTAGCAGAAAAAGCAACATTACTGGGAAACATTCCAGTTTTTTTATCCCCTTTCCTGCACAGACCAAACAGAAGCTTTCCATTCAATTTTGCTTATCATACTGTTCATTGAGGAATGGGGTTCTGAATCTCAGTGTACTTTCCAACACTGAAATGTCTGTTGCATTTTGAGCATTCTGTGCCTCTTTGAAGCATCCAAGATTCAGAGATTAAAAACATTTGCTGCCATAAACCCTTCCTGGACAAACAGTCTATTGCAGATACTTGACAGACCTTTTTAAAAATAAGTTTGGGGAAATTGCTGTGTGTGTCAGCAATCATGTAGAATATCTGGTCAATCAGTGGGACAAAAAAAAACCTTAGTTGGTTCGTACTATTATTCTTAAGTGCCTTCTTCTTCCCTGTAGTAGAGCTCAAACTGTTTATGAGAAAACTGAGAACAACAGAAGATAAGTAGGGGATTGGAGTGTGAATGGAGAACTTTTTCAATGAATCAGATTGAACACAGAGTGGGTCCTTTGTCAGATCCATTTGAAGTCCCACTAAAAAGCAGTAAATGCAGCTAGGTTTGTGCAGAATGAACCAATGATTTTCCATACTGTGTGACATCTGTTCCATATGCAATGTTATGGGAACATAGCTGGAACAATTCTAAGCTTGCTGTCAACAATTTTTATCATCCTTTACAGACAAGGTCAATTGGATTCAATTATTTCTGGATACCATTGTTGGATCAGATCATAGAGAGATGACCTTGACAACTGCTTGACAGGTTCCTAGGCTATTATTTTTAGGTTTTAGGTCTCAAAGACAATAGAAAAGGTATGTCAAGAGACGACACTATCAGTGACTTATGTTATTCTTTCCCTTTCTGGCCTTTAAGTTGACTACCTGTCATGCCCCTGTTGGAGACTGACTCTGAGGGACAGGAGGAACAGCTGTCAGGGAGTGGAAGTGTGGCTCTGGAGGTTGTGGAAGAGGCTGGGGAAAGTCAGAGGCCGGCTGGGCAGTCAGAGGAAGACCCAGGCCCATCCCCTCTTCATCCTAGAGCATGCAGGAAGGAATGGAGAAGGGAACAACGTGGCTTACGGGAGAGAAAGCGGCCATGATCCCTCTCATTGGCTGAAGCTGGGGGAAATAGTATAAAGGAGGGACGTTTAAAATACAGTGTTGTTAGAAGCAAAGCATGTTTTATTTCTGGCTGAGGTTTATCTTGGTTGGCGTTCTTCCAATGGACTGTGCCTTGTTATCTTCTTGAAGTTTGTAATTAATTATCCTGGTCTGTCATGGAAATTCCTTCAGTGCGGTTTGTTTTGGTTTTTCATTTCTTCGTTATCTGTTCTTTGAGTTTGGACTGTATTTCTTTCTTTTGGAGACTATTTTAGAAAGAGTTTAATCTCCAACTGCGAACAATTGAACAGTGAGGCCAAGTTGGAGGCATTAAAGGAAATTTATTTACATTTGGGAATTTATTATGTGTGTGCTGCTTCCCGGGTCATCACACTACCTTGGGATAAATACACAAGTGAAACAGATCACTAGTGCTTTCTTGAGTTTAAATTGTGTTTCTTCCTGCAGATTTTTCAAATTGTAAATCAGTTTCAGATACAGGTAGTCCTTGACTTATGACCACAATGGAGCCCAAATTCATATTGCTAAGTGATAAATTTGTTATGTGAGTTTTGCCTCATTTTATGACTTTTCTTGC